GAACCCTCATCAAAATTGTAACGTTGTTAATAAACAAAAAAAAAGCCCCCGGCCAAGAGGACACCTTAACACAAAAAAAAAAAAAAAAAAAAAAAATCTCATGATATATTAGATATTATAATATAACATAATTTGGTTCATTATAATTTTTTATATTATACAATATTTATTATATTGATAGTTTGTTATATTGTAATATAGAAACTTTTGAGGTGTTAACTATATCACTTAACTTAATATACGGAGAGTAAGAAATAGAAAAAAAAAGAAGAAAAAAAAGAAAACTAAAATGGCAAACAATTATAGATTTCGCCAAATCATGGCAACCGTATTTTATTGCATTCCTTGTATAAATTCTTTTAAATGTAAAAAAAACCTTACTAAAAAAGATAAAGAGAGTTGTGAAGACATTTTTGCTCAAACTGGTGAAGCTCCGTTATGTGCAAACTGTCAGAAGAATCATTGGCGCTGTAAAAATGCTGCATGTATAAATTGCTGTAAGTTACATGAATGCAATGATTTTGTTTGTTCTTTATGTAAATCTCTTGGTATTGAGTGTAAACGTGTTCTTCCACAAACTCAAGAAGAATATGCATGATTGCAAGCAAAGGGTGTCACATATTCAACTAGTCAACCTAAATCTACTGAGAAAGGTCAGTTTCACGAACAATGTTTTTTTCAATTCAAAGATCGGCAAACAGTGAAGTTTGTTAAATCTTTATTTGGATATCGTTCTATGAGTTTTCCAAAATGTTTAAATGGTGATTCGGAACAAAATCATGATTATAGTATGAAGCCATAGAATCACTGTAAGGATCCTCTTCATGCTAAAGACTGTCGTTGTGATTTTATAGATCGAAGTAAGATTTGTAATATATGTACGGTTGAGTGCATTGAGAAACGTACTCGTGCACGTTGGGTTGTTGACGGCATTGAATTGGGCCCATGAGAATTTGGTTCATATCGATTTCTTTCTTCTCAAAACGAATTTCTTGGAGAAGACGAAATTAAAAAACGTTATTTAGAAGATATGGATCGTGTTAATCGAATTATTGAAGAGGGTATTTCTACATGTGAGATATTAGAGAATATTAAAACATTATATCCACGATATTGGCTTCGATCTTTTCAAGATCTTTTTTTTCTTGAAGAAAAAAGAGAACATCTTTTAACCGAAAAGCTTAAAAAATTTTGGAGACCAGTTACATTTTACATTTATGGTGAAGGTGGAGCAGGGAAGTCTGGGTTGGTTTCTGAATTATTTGCTAATGAATATTATGCTAAACCTAAGAAACAAAAATCAGGATCTAATTGGTGGGATGGGTATAAGAGACATGAGATAGTTCTTTTTGATGAATGGTATACATCAATGGATTGGAATGATATTGTAAAATATTTGAATGATACTCTGGAGAATGTTGAGCAAAAAGGCAAGATATTTGTGCCTTTTCTTGCTAAGTATGTCTTTATGACATCTCACAAACCACCAGAAGAAGCTTTTAATTTTCGAAAACATAATATAAATGAAGAGATGTCAACTCAACATGATTGGGGTCAATTTTATCATCGTCTTGATTACGTTATCGAATTTAAGGGTATATGGCATGATAAAATAGATCTTTGTACTATTGAGTTAATATTTAATAAAAGTTCAGAAGAAAAATTTCGAAACATGACATGGGATGTAAAATATCGTAAAGGTGAATTTACATCTGAGGAACTAAAGGCTGTGGTGCAGGAATTGAACAAAAATCAAGATAGTGAAGTGATTATTAAAGCTGACAATCAAGTTTACTGGCGTCGTTGTTTTCCTGAGTTCAAAAAGAATTATCTACGTGATTATCCTAGATGCCACAAGCTTTCTGATTACAAACAGAAGCTTCTACAACAATCACAATTAGTTTTATATTCAACTGTGACTGGGAAAAGATCTCAAGAACATATATCTAAATCCAAAACGTATTTTGATGATGATTCCGACTATAGTTGTCAACAATCAATAGCCGAATCTAGCATTACAGCTGCTATGCGAAAAAAACCTAACAAGCGATTGAAACATCGTATTGAAAAATTTTTAAATGATTCAGATCATAATGATATAAATATACCAAATTCTCATATGATGCTTGATGATAATTATTTTGTTCAAAAACTTGTAAAGGTTATAGAAATAACCAATGAGTATGCTAGTAGTCAAGGTCAATTATTTTTAACACAACAAGAAATTATAGAAAAGCAAAATGAAGAAAGCTATCATCTCAATAAAGAGAATAAGTAATTATAATTACACAGAAATTATTAGCCATTTCTATATATAAAGTCTTGATATGTATTTTTTTAATATGTATGTATTTTTCAAAATGAATTTAAATAATTTTTTGTTATTTAAAAATAATTTGGATAATTTTTTAATTGTAGTTGAACCGTGGGTTAATGGTGAATATAGAATAGCTTTTTTAAATAATTTTAAGTTTATTAATGATTTAAAGGACTATAGTTTTGAGGGTAAACATGAAATAAAAGAGTTGTTTTATTTTGAGTATAATAACGGTGTTCCAAGTTTTGTATTTTCTAATTGTGATATTTTTGGTTATAAAGTATATTTTAAAACTAAATTAATTTTAGAATTTAACTCTGGAAAAGTTTATTTTTATATTTTACAACAACAATTGAATTTTTTTGAGTATAATATAACTATTATAAAAATGCAAATAGCTATCAATCAATTAAAGACGTTTGTTGATACTGATATTGAGGCAGTACGTCAAAAGATGCTTAACAGATCTATTACTAGTAACTACTTAACTAATAACGAGGAAGAGCTAGTCAAAGCTACTTTAAAACAAATAGTCAGTTCATCTTTGGATATTTTGGAAGATGACGATCCCAATGAGCGAGAGTACAAGATTCAGTATTTATTTAAGTTAAAGGGTCATAAAAAAGAAAAGTTTAATTTCAGTGATTGGAAGATTACAAATCATAATTTATTAGCTAAAGACGAACAACTCTATTTTCATAGTTTAGAAAAACAATAATGTTTTATATTTTGAAAAGATGTGATTAGTAGATTTTTATATTTTTTTAGTTTGAATTTCAAAATTTTTAAATTTTGTTATTTTTATAATTTTTTATTTATACATTTTATTTTAACAAATAAATATCAACTTTTGAAAAGGTGTGTTATCTTTATTTTTTATTTCTAAAAAAATTTTGTTCAAGAGCGAATCAATATTACTTTTTTGTCAGACAACTTTTATGTATAACTTTTTTATACGGCAGCCGTATATTTTTGTACCCCAAAAAAACTACCTACTAATTAAATTTTCTTAAGTAAAAACCACCTACTAATTAAATTTTCTTAAGTAAAAACCACCTACTAATTAAATTTCCTTAAGTAAAAACCACCCACTAATTAAATTACATTTTTTTGGGGTGCAAAATGAAAAAAGGGTCCATTTTTTATTAAGAAAAAAACAAAAAGAACCCCATTCTGCTGCCGTACAAAGTGATAAAAAACCACCCATGTATAGGAAGTTAGTAAGTATTATGTAATTATAGACATTCTCTGGAATATTGTTTATCTGAGGACTCATTTCGGCTTTTTCCAAGTACCCAAAATAACCGCGTCGGACACCCACGTGCAAGCACGCGGTTATCCGTCTGGTATTTTGGAGAGGACTGTGTAATATTGGAAAAGCGTCGCTTCGCTTATTTAATTAGCGCTACGCTTCACTGGGATAATAAAAACTTACAAAAAACAAATAATTATAAATTATATATAAGAATAAGAGCTCAGACTAAAAGCTCAAACTAAAGTTTAAACTAATTATCTGCAACCTAAACCTACTAGAGTGGTTAAGACTCACCTAGATTTAAATAGTTAAAATATTGTTAATAGATGTGCTATATCTAATTTACATAGTAGACCAGATATTAAGTTTGGTAGATGCTTGTTTTAAAGGAGAACAAGTATTGAATTCAGAATGTAGTTGATTGGTGAAGCCACAAGGGCAGTTATAAGTATATTTAGTTTTGTTTTTTTTATATAAAGAGGGCTCAGATAGATTAGATATTGTATTAAAAGTAGGTTGAAGAGGAATTTGATGTACTTTTTTCTAGTCAGAAAAGTTGATACAGTAGGGAATTTATATTTTGTGATATAATTGGTCAAAAATTTTGAGAAGTATTTGTATAATAAGTTAAGAGGTGTTAGAGTATGAGATGTTAAAGAAGTCTAGAGCCTGGATTAGTAGTATTGGTATAAGACCTTTAAGTATAGAATGAAGAGAGTAAGGATAAAGAGATGAGGGTGAAAAAATAAAAGAAGGATGTGAAGAGATGGTATGTATGAAATTATGAAGTTGGTATGTAGAAAGATTGAGATTAGAATTAAAAATAATTTCTTGTATTGAGGAGTTAATAGTTTGAGTTAAAATAGTATTATCAGGGCAAGTGTACCAGTGAGAACGAGTATCTAGTTGGTTGCAAGAGAAGCAATTATCAAATGTAAAAGTAAGAGGGTATATGAAATGGAAGTAAGCATGTGTTGGCAGCATATTGAGAAGCAATTTTATTTTAAAAGCTTTTAAGTGGTTTAGTTTAGGTTGTATGTGATTTTTTGATTGTTGTTGAAATATAACCAAGAGGCTTTTCAGTTGATTAAGTGAGAGAAAGATAACCATTCTTGGGTATGGTGTTGTGAAGACCATAGGGCAATAGTGTGTACTTTGCAAATTGGTTTAATAAATTGTCTAGTAGGACTTTTGACAAAACATTCTTTCCATAGTAAATTAGAGAATGGGTTATAAAAATTAGTATGGTTAAAGTATAAAATTGGGGAGGAGGAGTGGTTGTTGGCTAGTAAGTCTGCAAGATTATTAAAGAAGTTATCAGAGTGTGCTTAAACTTTATAGAAAGAGATTTGTATATTGAAGGCTTTCAAAATATTAAGAAGTATATGCCAGATAGGCCAGAAGTTAAATTTAAGATATTTGGAGAAGTGTAGTGATATAGATAAAAGTTTGTTATATTTAGAGATAATAGATTGTAAGTTTGTAAATATTTCGATGTAGGAGTTTTGAGGAAGTGTTGAAATGGCAGATAGTATTGCTAGTAGTTCAGCTTTATAGAAAGAAGGCCAGTTGGAGATCTGTGCAGAGAAATTGTAGATAACATGGTTGTTATGAACTTGGACCTAGCTAATATCTATTAAGCATTGGTTGGTGCCAAGTTGTTTAACTGAACTATCTATATAGAAGGTAAATTTGGTTTGGGATAAGTTGGCGAAAACAAACTGGGCAAGTTGTAAAGAGGTATTATTATTTTGAAAAATAGATGAGATAATAGAATTGGTAATATTAATAGTAGATGGGGATAGTATATTGAAAGAATATTTAATGTTGGCAGAATGGATAAGATCTATATAATTAGCATTAAAGTTAAGTTGTTTGTTGGCTTTTTTCCTTCCCAAAAATTGGGTGGAAAGAACAGCTAATATTTCTAAAGTACAACAGCTTGATATGCGGTTAGAGTTAAGGCTACAACCTTGGCAAGGAGTGCAAGAGATGGAAGATAATAGATAGTAATATGAAGTTGAGGTGTCGATATTGTATTGCCAATGTGTTATTAATATAGTGTTGGTTTGGGAAAAGGTTCTATGAACTTGACTGATAATAATATCTTTATTGAGGTATGTAAGAATCCAGGGTTTGTGAGTTTTAAAAAGTAGATTGGTTTGAAAAGCAAATAGGTTAATGCTAGTAGGTTAGAAGTTTGCTGAAATAGTCTGATATAGTTTGTTGTCAAGAATGGTGTCTTCTAAAAAGATAAACCAAAGTGGTTTTTTCTCTTTGGAGATGTGTAGAAGTCTGGGAGATAAATGAGACCAGTCTAAAAGAGTATTGTTATCAGATGAACAAAGTTGTTCAAGATAGAGAATATTTTTGTATTGGAGTTGTTGTCTGAAAGTGTTGTATTTAGGGTGGTTCAAAAGAATATTTTCAAGTAAAGTGTTGTTATCATTTATAATTTTGGGCCAGGAAGTATCAAGGTGAGAGTGTATAGAAATATATAAATAATTAAAAAGTTGTATAATTTTAAAGGTTGTAGAATATTTATTTGGTTCTACTCCAAAATCACAAAAGACAGATTTTCAAAAAGGACACAATACTGACAAAGTTAGCTAGCATTAGTTATAATGCTGGCTAATTTAGTCAATATTATGTTCTTTTGGGGAAATGGTCTTTGGGATTTTGGGGTAGAACTATTTATTTAGACTATCGATAATAGGATGGGGTGTTGAAGAATATTAGTAGCAGACTAGAGATTGTTTGAAGTTGTTGAAGTCAGATACAGGTTGTTGTACCAAAATTGCTAATATGATGTTGGAGTTATATATCCCAAATATTGTGGATATTTTAGAGATTGTAGTTGAGAAGAGTACTGTTAGGAGTAGAGCGAGAAAGATGTGTTTGTGTTTGGCAATAGTAAGATATTTGCCAAGAATTGTATTGCATGTAGAAAGGGAAATGACAATATTATGAATTCAGTATTCAATAGTAGAAGTAATGACAGTATTAATGATATAAGTAATTTGTTTGTCTATAATGTTTTTGATACTAGCAATATTGGCTAAGTTAATAGCTTCATCTTGGATAAGTTTGATTTGGAAGATTTGTTTGTTGTTAAGAGTGAACCAACATCCTAAAAATTTAAAAGGCTGGGAGAGTAGAATAGATTGAAGGTTGAAGTTAAGAAATAAGAAGTTTGATGAGGTTTGGTTTGTAATAAATATTAATTTTGTAGGGTTAACTTGAATATCTGCCATGGTGTAGAAAGAGGAGACGATATTAACAATTTCATTAAGTTGTTCTTTGGATTGAACAATCTATAATATATCATCCATGTATGCCAGAACAGATATAGAGGTATTGAGGTAGTTGGTAGAAGGGTGTATAAGACTAGTTTGCCAAGAAGTAAAGAGAGTGTATCCAGAAAAGTGTGAGAAAGTATATGTTATAAGAGAGTCATAGTAGATTCTTCAGAAAAAAGGGGTAATTGTTTTACCTTGGTCAATGCTATTTCTAACAGAGTAGAAATTGGTAAAGCCAAGATTAGTAATAACTCGATTAGTATGGTCAAATAAGAGGTTGATAAGAATATTGATAAGCTGTTAAGACATTTGTATGTGATGAAGAGATTTTTGAAATAGTTCAAAGTTAACTAAATCATATGCCTTGCTCATATCTTGGAAAAGTAGCCAAATTTGGTTGGAGTTGCAGTTGGCATCTTCTATTATGTTATTGAGAATGTAAATAGGGATGGAAATAGAGTTGTCAGGAAGTGCAACAAAGTTAAAAGGAGACAGAATATTATATTGAGACAAAGTAGTATTGAGACGGTTAGTAAGAAGTTTTGTATATAGCTTTTTAATATGTTTAATTAAGCTAATAGGTCTGGCGTTTGATAGGTTGTCATCAAAAATAGGCTTTTTGGAGATAAGAAAGATACAGCCTTCTTTCTATTGTTTGGAAATAGTTTGAGAGATAAGACATCGATTAAAAAGAGATGTAATAGCAGTGAGAAAATCAGGGCCTGCATGTTTGAACATTTTGTAGCTAATTCCAGATAGACCACAGGCTTTGTTGTTGGAAAGTTGGTTAATAGTAGAGATAACCTCATCTTCAGTAAAGTTAAAAAGGATGTTGGAGTACCAAGTTGGGTTGATATGGGGCTTGGGGTTATATTTAACTTGCTATTGGAAGTTAAATATATTAGTATTAATATGGTAGGAAGTAGTTCAGTTATCAAAATATTGTTGGATATGTGATTTAATAGTAAAAGGGTCAATAATAATATCATTATCTAATCAAATATTATTAAATTTAACAGGGGTCTTTGTGTTGATTAAAAATACTATTAATCATTGAGGTTGGATGGTTCTGAAGTTTGGAGTATCTTTTGTTGATAGCATCAGAGATTTGTTGTTTGATTTCTTTAATATTTTTAATATTTCAGGCATGAAAAAGATTTTTCT